CAGCTTCCATCAAAGTTGAATTAGCCTGTTTGAATTTGATTCATACCTGTCTATAACAATACATGTCGTAACATTCTGGAGGTATGGGGCATTTTATTTTATTTTATTTTATTTTATTTTATTTTATTTATTTATTTATTATTATTATTATTTTTTTTTTTTTGCAGCGCGTTAAAAACGTCGGGTTCTTTATTTCAACCGAGAGACTGAAATTTAACAACGTGAAAGAGTCCCGGGTTCTTTCACAGGCGTTTTTAATTGTATTAAAAATCAGTTGTCATTCTTTTTCTGAATATGATGTAAAATGACTATACATGAATTAACGTTGTTGTCGATGGTTGATTCTCCATAATCCTTTCTCTGGTGCTCGTACGAAATCGGAACTTCGTATACGAACTGAACTAATATTACTTTAATCATACTCATGTTCTTTTACACAAATTAATATTTTTGAATCGTTTTTAAAAAACGAATGGTATAAAAAGTAAAAACATGTCATGTTTTTTTCATGAGTTGCGGAGAGAAAAAATGCCGAGATAATGATGTTAGTGGCTAAGTAAAATTAAATACTACCGGTTTTGTTCGTTCCTTATAAAGGACCGGGGCAATAAGTACCGCGGTAGCCCGTCTCTGACAGGAGGGTGCGTGAAAACTGTTTTTAAGTAAACTACACAATTAAAACTGCCAAATTAAAACTGAAAACAATTTTATGCAATGCATGAACAATATTTCGAGCTTTAATCTGCGATATATTGTTAGTACTTCATAAGTATAAAAAAAATCCAGATTTTAATAACGTGTGAAAATTAATAAACTAATAGTGGAATAAGTCGGGGAAAGGCCCCCTCCTCACACACCTACTGTACGGCTGCCCAAGGCAGTCGGAGCGCGGGCTGTAAAAAGAATGGTGTTTTAAACGCCCCCTGCCCACTTTTTTTCACGTCAACACAGGAAGGGACTGGCTAGTTCTTCTATTTCTTCTTCTCTCCTTCTTTTTTTGTGGGAGCGCAAACTGGTCGAAAGTTAACACTTTTTGAGACCTTTCCTGTCGTGCGTAAGCACAACCAGTAGGCCTACAACGCATGAATTTTGTGCTAGCCGTCACAATGAGGCCGCAGCACAGGCAAAACACTGCAGCCTAAGCAGTGGTGGGTTTAGGGGGTTGTCAGGGGGATCCTGCGCCCCCACCCCTCCGCTTCGGTTCCTGAAAAATAAATCACACCAATACTCCCCTCTTGATATTAGAATTTTGATATAAATCGTATAGTATAGCGTCACGGACCTGCGGACCTCACGGTCAAATTAAATCTCCAGGTACCGGTGTGTATCATTACTATCAATGAACAGCAGCAGCCGTCGCCAGCTACATATGCCAGAGAGACTTTTAGCCGTCATGGGAATCGTAAATGACTTTTAAAAGACGCTGCATGATGTTATGGTTGTATAATAAACACCCAAACCCAATATAGAGGTGCATTTCACATGTTGAAGTG